GGCTCTCCCGCCGCTCCTCTAGGACGATTTGTCTTTATTCCTGTCCTCTTTAGGATATTCTCCTGATCTTTGGTTTTCAGCAATTTCACTATAAAGTGTCTAGGTGTGTTTTTCTAGATTTTTTTTTTACCCTTCTTGGGCCAGCCAAGCTTCTTGAATCTGAGGCGATGTCTTTCACCAGACTTGGAAAATTCTTGGCCGTTATTTAGTCAAATGTTACTTTTCCTCCCCTCTCTTTCTGGGACTCTAATTACTTGTGTTAAATACGTTAGACATTTTAACTGTATCTCACATTTCTCTTAAACTCCATTCTTTTATTTTCCTGTTTCTTTTCCCTTTTGTGCCCTCATTTTCCCTTCAGTTGGATATTTTCTGTGGGTTTATCTGGGCTTTGTGATTCTACCGTGTCCAGTTTGCTTTTAAACCTTTCCAGTGATTTCCTAATTTTAGATATTATATGTAGAATTTGAGTGTCTACTTAATTTCTTTTTATAGATTCTAATTCCCACTCGAATTCTATTTTTATTTATTTTCTATCTCTATTAAAATAATGCATTAATCTCATTGATTATTTTTAGTGTATTAATAACAATTTTTTAAAGTTCTTATCCGCCAACTTCAATATCATCATCTCTGGGTCTGTCTCTACCCATCATAATTATTTCTTATTGGCTGACTCTCGCCATCTTTTGCTCTGCTTTTATTGACTATTTTGTCTTCGTTATTGGGTATTTTCCATGCTTCCTCGCGTCTAATGATTTCTGCTACATCCTTGACGCGGCGGCGGTGCGTTGCAGAGGCTGTGCGTTAGTTACCGTTACGTTGTCACCATCTGGAGAATGTCGGGTTTGCTCTGAAGGATGGCCACGTCCCCAGCAGACCGCGGGGACCCTCTGAGGCTTGGTTTCGGGCTGCGTAGGACGGGCCTGTTGCAGTTGCTGCCTCTCAGTGTGAAGCTCTCACTGCGGGACGTCCTGGCTCTAGCGTGCCGCCTTCGCGGGGCCGCGACTGATCGCCCAGGGCGCTCGCAGGGTTCCTGTCTGGGCTCGCATCGCCGTGTCTCCCCAGCACTGGGAACCACTCACGCTCCCACTTGCCCCCAGACCCTCGGAAACCGTTTTCTGTGAGGCCGCTGGGAGTTGCCCGCACGCACCTTAGGAGTTGACCAGGTCAGATTTCCAGGGTTCCTTTTCTGCCAGTTCCCCCTCCAGTCCCCTGCTCCCCAGATCCCAGCAGCCAGATTCCGATCTTGTTCCTGCTAAAAGGAGAGCTCTGCTGTCTGCCTGGTCCCTGTTTCCCAGGACGGAAGTCGGGAAGATGCCCTCGTGCTCCCGTCCGAGCCTGCTGCCCTTGCTCTGCGCACTTTGTTCGGTGTTGAAGGTGTTTCCTGCAGAACTGCAAGTCTAATGCCAGCTCTTCCACCTCGTCTGGGGGCCTGGGCACCCCGCCTGTGGTGCAACTCCCAGGAGTGAGCTCTCAAGCTCGCAGCGAGTCCTGCTGTGTCTCTGGGCTCCGGCTCACTCCTTGGCCTAAAATGTTATCTGTCCTCTTCACGCTCACTCTCAGACCCGGCCTGAAGCCACGCAGCCCTCCGCAGGTCTCTGCTTCCCGGTGTGGCCTTGAGTCGCGTGGGCTCTGCACCCCCCTGGTGTCCTCTCCCGCCCCCACCGTGCTCCACCCTGAGTGCTGGGTGCTCGCGTCCTTCCCTCTCTCGTCAACTTGGGAGGCCCCGCCAGGGCCCCTCCTGTGGGCAAACACACCAGGCTGTTCCTCATCCCCTGCGTGTCCACTGGTGGGTGCAGCCGTCTCTGACCCGTGAGGTGCATTTATAGGAACTAGGAGCTTAGAAGAAGGGAGGGGTCCCCTGAAAGGCAGATCCCTCTGGAAGAAGACAGAGGTGCTATCAAGACACCTGTCATAGATGTGGGGTTCACTCCAAGGCCCAGCTTTGGGGAGGAGTCCTGGCTCCACGGAACTGATTCGGGAGACTTTTCCGGACCAGGACACTGGTCCTCTTCCAGGGACAGCTGCTGTGGGGTGCCGATGCCCCAGGCCGAGGCCTGGTCTATGACCCCCAGGTGTGGCCAGCCTAGGTGGGAGCAGCTGCAGTGACCGCACGGGGGTTGGTGAGGACCCTGTGTGAGGAAGGCACATCATGGGTGTCGCAGGACACACGCGCAGGCACCCTCCGCCCTGGGGGACAGCACCAGGATCATGTCAGCTCCACAGCCAGCTGGGTGCCTGCGAAACGCAGGTTCCCGGATCCACCCTGGGGTGCTAGTTCTGTGCATCTGGGGCGCTGAGGGCTCCCCTGCCTGTTGACAGGGGACCATCACTAACCCCAGGTGGCTGTGACACAGAGCCGTCCAGGGCCACATGCCGTGAAGCCCTGTGCTTGGAGGAGAGCGCCGGTCACCCAGCATCAGTGAGGGTGTGGGTGGGGCCTAGCCCCCCATACCCCCCAGCCCTGGCGGGGGGCACTGGGACCAGCATGTCATAGCCTCGAGGCTGCAGTGATGCCACCAGACACATGCTGGATCCGCTTCGCAGCAAGGAGCCACAGGGGGTGCGGTGTCTGCGGGGTTGCAGGACTCCCCAAATCCTATGCTGCCTGCCGTGGTGTGTGTGGCCTGGCCGGGCCTGGAATCACTCCCACCTTGCTACCCAGGTTTGGGTGTGTCGCTGCGTTGGATACGGCCTCCCGTGAGTGCGGTCGACGAGCGTTTCCCTGGGGGTGGCTGGGAGATCTCAGCGTTCCCAGCCTAACAGAGACCCTGTGTGCACGGGGCCGGTGGCTTTAGGAGGCACTTTCTGGGACACTGTCCGATCTGTACTTACGTGGGTCCCCTGGCCCGGGTGACCGCAGCTCCCTGCATTCTTGCCGGGTGGTCCATGCGGTGGCGCTCGGGCACGTCACCTAACAACACGGGGGGGCCCTGCCGCGAGGTCGGCCCCTGCTCCAAGCCAGGTGGCTCCGGAGGTGGGGTCCTTGGGTCGCGGCTCTTGATTTCTTGTTTCCCGATGAGAGGAAAGTGCAGGGAGTGTGAGTGCTGAGCCGGCCGCTCGTTCATGTTTTATGTTCATTCGCCTCTGTTCTCACTAACCGACTGTGTTGCCTCTTCCAGCATCTCTGTGCTCCAGTAAACGGGAGTTTAGCGGTTAAGGATTTCTTGTTCAGCTCGGCCTCCTGTGTGGCCCGAAGTCCACGATCTGGGCTAATCAGGCAGCTCCGTCTTTGCTTCCAAGCTAACTTCAGTTTCTTAGCTCGTTTTATCTTTAAACAGCACGTAAAGCGGCAAGATACCTGTTCTGCTCTGTTGCTGAAAAGTGTTTCGTGCCGAGCTGTTCACCCCGAATCCCTGACGACCTCGTCTTCTTGTAAACTTGCGGCTGTCAGTGACGCCGCCCGAGCGCCCAAGTCTGTCATTTGGACTTTGGGCCGCTCCGTCGGGTCTGGGTGCAGCGCCCGCCTCCTGGTCTCGCGTCCCTGCGGCAGCTGGGATGAGGCAGGCAGCAGCTGTGACCCGGAAGGGCTCCTGAAGCTGCTGTTAGTGGACTGAGCGCAAAGGGCTGCACGGTAGGGAGGTGGGAAGGCCACCCACCCTCATGGCCACCAGCCTGGCCGGTGAGCAGATAGCCTGGGCAGTCAAACCTGGGCACCCTGGCACCGCCGTCTGGTCTGCTTGTCCGGGAAACCCTACCTCACCCCGAAGGCCTGGCTTGCCTGGAAACAGCCATACAGCAGGCCAGCCCTGTGGCCAAACCTAGATGACAGGGGGGCCCCACCTGCCCGGCCCTCCCAGTGAGCAGGCCCAGCCAGGGAAGGGGCTACATGGGCTTGGAGGCCGGGCTCCTATTCCGTGGCCCCCTGCACCGCCCTCCTGCTGGCAGGTGTGGGTGACTCCGTACAGCTTCTCCCGGCTCTGCGGGACATGCAGCCCCTGCACGCTGGGAGCCCCAGCGGGACGGCGCGGGGAGGGGCACACAGGCCCCGGGGGCCCCCTCAGGAAGGTGCCTCAGCTGGCAGTGGGGCTGCCGGCTCTCGGTGCGCAACGCTCTGCTTTTGCTTCTGGTCTCAGAGCCCAAGACACTGGGGGGCTGCGCCGTGAGGGCCGCCACTCTGCCTGTTTCCATGGTGACCGCAGACCTGCGCCTGTGTGACTGTGTTCTGTTCTCCTTGTAGATGGAGGAGATAAAGTTTAAAGACAGAGCAGTCTTCGTGCTGGAGAGAGAGTTAGGGGTTCAAGCCGGGCACGCTCAGAGACTGCAGCTCCAAATGGAGGCTCTAGATGAGCAGCTGTCCCAGGTCAGAGAGGCCGACCGGCACCCCGGCAGCCCCAGACGGGAACTTCCTCATGCAGGCGGTGCAGGAGACGCCTCAGACCACTCGGGAAGCCCTGTAAGCACCTCCCCAGGCCCCCCCGGCCCCCAGACCCACAGGCAGATGGGGCCACGTGGCTGCACGGCCCTGTGCAGGCAGCACCCTGGGGGCCAGAGCCCAGGCTGAGCCAGCGCCGGCCTTGGGTGCCCTCCAGCCCGGCCCCGACCCTCTGAGCGCTGGCAGATGCGTCCCCTTCCTTCCCGCCAACACGGCGTGAGCACCGGCCTCATCACCCTCCCGCGGGCCCCCAGGTTGCGGAGGGACCCGCCCAGCCCCTGGCTGGCGGCAGAGGGGGCTGCCCTCAGCTCGTGCTGCTTCCGTCCCGCACGCGGGCAAGGCCGTCTGTCCCATCCCTGGCCGGGCCTCTCGCGTGGAGGCTCCCGGCACTCACGTCACCAGTCACCCTCCCACCCGCTTTTGTGTGGCTGCACCGCTCCCCGCGCCTGCCGGGCTGCTCGTGGCGGCGTGGCGTCTGCATGGCCGTGGCTTCCGCATGGCCGTGGCTTCCATCCTTGCCTCATCCAGGTTCTCCGCGGTGGCTCTGGCACTTCCTGGGGACCCACCTGCCACGGACCCCTGTGGTCCTGCGGGGTCTCTGGGCCCCTGGCCTCTCCTGCACCTGTTGAATGAGGAACTCGAGTCTCATCCAGGGCCTCCCTGGACACCTGTGTCTTTGCTTTGAGGATAAAACTCTATTTGAGCTGAGCCAGGCCTAGGACAGTGACATTTCAAAAATAGAAAACATTTTATAATCTAATTATAAATGGCTTAACTGGATTACAACCAGCCCCTCCTGCTCTGGTGCTTGATCGACGATCCCATTAACTCCAGAGAAATTTCGAAACTAGATTAACTGTTGTCACTGATTTCTGACTGACGTCCCAGTGGTTCCAAACGTGACCCGTTAGCAGCTCAGTCCGAGGAGCACCCTTGGGAAACCAGCCTTTCACAGTCTCCAAGTATCTCCTCCTGTGCTCACGTCACGATCCCAGAAAATCGGCCCCCGCCGGGCGGGGCAGACCCTTCCCGCAGGTGCAGCTCTGCAGCAGCCCCCGGAGAGCACGGCGGCTGCGTGTCCCCCGGCGTGGCCCACACGCGCGGTCCCCGCATTTGCACGCCCCGGCCCCCCGCATTTGCATACCCAGACATTTCTGCTCCCTTGGTTCCGTCCCCACCGCGCAGTTTGCAGTGGCCGAGGGTTGGGGCAGGGCTGCCTCCCCTGGCGGCCGTTGGAAGCCAAGGCCATGGTGACGCCGCGTGTTTGTTTCCTTAGCGTGTTGGGATTTGCGAGGGTTTTCCCCGCCTGTGTCTAGGAACGGTTATTTGCAGTTGATTCTTGTTTTAGGAACAGCAGTTGGATGAAAAGGATGCCCGGCGCTTCCAACTTAAAATCGCGGAGCTGAGCGCGATCATCCGCAAGCTGGAAGACCGCAACGCCCTGCTGTCGGAGGAGAGGAATGAGCTGGTGAGTGTGGGTGGCTCTTGGATCCTCCGAGTTTATGGCTGCGGAGGGGGTGGGGCCTCCACTTCCCGAGTTCCTGTGGAAGGGAGGAGGGGTGGTTACAGGGCCAGCCTTGCGTCTGGGCTCTTGGCTGTGTTCCAGTAAAGCTTTATTAGCAGAACAGGTGGTGGGCAGCCAGATGCGGCCCTCCAGTGCTGGTTGGCAGATCCCTGCTCTCTGCGGCTGGGGAAAGTGTCCCCATTCTGCACGGCATCCGGGATGGGTGAGGACACGGCCCTTGGGTGGGGCCAACACCGTCAGTCCTTATAACCCCTGGGATTTTGAGCTCCTGGAGGGCGTGAGCGGCTCAGGGTGTTGAGAATGGCCCAGTGCGCCGGCGATTTGACTGCGGCTCTCCTTGGCACGTGGCGCGCGGGCCCCAGGCTGCTGTGTTCAGCTTCTCCTGTCTGCGGATGGGACCCGGCATGGCCCCTGGCGACGCGCAGCCCAGCCTGAGCGCGGGGTCACCTGGGTGCCAGGCGGGCGGACGCCACCAGGCAGCAGGGACTGAAGTTGCCTCCTTCCAAATAGCGGGTCGGTAACCACGTTGCGGCGGCCGGAGCTCCGGGCGGGGTGCTGACTCTGTGTGGAGAGCTGTCGGTTCTCTGGTACTTGAAAGCGTCAGGTCGTACGATCGATTTTGTCTCGCAGTTAAAGCGATTAAGAGAGGCCGAGAGTCAGTATAAGCCGTTGCTGGATAAAAACAAACGCCTTACTCGGAAAAATGAAGATTTGTCCCACACTTTGCGTCGGATGGAAAACAAGTTAAAGTTTGTCACCCAGGAGAACATAGAGATGGTAAGGGGCCGGGCGGGGGCCGGGCGGCCAGCGGCAGGGGGTGGCCGTCCCCTCTGCGTCTCTGTGTGTGATGCCGCAAGATGGCAGCTCCTGGGCCGCAGCCCAGGCCTTTCCCGCGGGCGTCTGGTCTCACGCGCTTGGTGGGAGAGGAGCCCGAGAGCCCTCAGTTTCCCCTGGGGCTCTGAGGCTGGGCAGGGGGCCCCGGCCTTGCAGCCGTGGGGCAGCCACCTGCTTGGCTCATGCAGGAGGAGGGGAAGACCCCAGCTCCCCACACGCAGTCAGGCGCTGCCCTCCCCGCCTTGAGACATGGTCCGCTCCGTGTTGCAGAGACAGAGGGCCGGGATCATACGGAGACCCAGCTCCTTAAACGACCTCGATCAAAGTCAAGACGAAAGAGAAGTTGATTTCCTGAAACTTCAGATCGTCGAGCAGCAAAACCTCATAGACGAGCTTTCTAAGGTAACCGGTGGGCTGTACGCCCGCCCGCCCCTGGCTCCCGGGAGCCAGGCAGGAGATGGGGAGGGTGGGCTGGCGTTTGTGGGGCCACTCGGGCTGGGTCCCCCGTGCCGCTGCTGCTCGAGGCGGCCCTCCCTGCACTAGCCTCTCCCTGGATCTCCGAATCACGTCCCTCTGGCTGCCCAGGCCCCAGAGGTGCTGTCCGTGCTCGCTCCTTGGGCTGCCGTAGCAAATCAGCACACACGGGGCGGGGGGGGGCTCAGGACAATGGCGGTTTATCCTCTCACAGCTCTGGGGGCCACTAGTCCAAAACCGTGGCTGTGGCAGGGCTGCGCTCCCCCTAGAGGCTCCCGGGGAGGATCCTCTCTGCCACCTCGCAGACTCTGGGGCCGTCGGCCACGTCACGGCTTCGTCCTCTTGTGTCGTTCGTAGCAACCAGTCCTGGGTTGAGGCCCAACCAGGTGGGCTCCGGGTCCTTGCTCAGCTGTGCCTGCAAACACGCTGTTTCCAATCGAGTCACATTCACAGGTCTGGGGAGCAGGCCGTGGGCACGTCTTTTGGGGCACCCTCCAGCCCACCCCAGGGCCACCCCGTGGCCCCTGCACCCAACACGGTTTTGCAAATAGTCCTTCCTGAAACTGTCCCTCAGTTATCTCCGTTTGGGGCACCTTCCGCATCGTGCTGGGATCGCGACTGGTGACGCAGTGAGGTCGTCTCAGAACGCACTGCCCTCGGCCATTCTGCGTCCTCTGGAAGGGACGGCAGAGTCCCTCTGTGTCACCAGCGCACGCAGCTGGGAGGCGCTGACCTGTCTCCAGTGACTGAAGCCGCCTCCACAGAACCGTGAGATGGGACACAGAGGGACCCCCTGCCCGCCACGGGCTGCGCGCTGAGATCTGCGCTTGTTTCTCGTCCGGTTACGCAGTGACTGCCCATCTCGGCGACACCGAGAGTTCACGAGGGAAATAGCAGGAACGGGGCAAGGCCTCGGCCAATCGCAAACGCTCACGATTTCTGTTTCCAAAAGGCCCCTTTCTCCTGCTGCCGAGCGAGGGATGCGCCCGTCCACCCAGAGCAGGGCCCCCCGGGCAGCGGCCGAGGGAGGCGGAGGCTGCCAGGAGGGTGCGGGTGGCGGTTAGGACACGGCAAAGGTTCGGGGGCCCCTCCGGGGGTCTTAAGCCTGCGGCAGCGGTTCCATGACGTGCTGTTTTCTTTTCCTAGACCCTTGAAACCGCCGGCTACGTGAAGAGCGTGTTAGTAAGTACCGGTCTGTGTCTCCCCGCGTGTGCGAGGCTCCTGTTTCCCAGGGCAGTTGCCCGCGGGCCCTGTTCCGTGCTGACGGCGCCTTGTGTAGACAGAACCGCGTTAGGGTAGACTGGCTGCCATCACGGCGCTGCCTGACCAGGGCTTTGCACTGGGGCCCGAGAACGCCCGGCCTCCCTCTGCGTCGTAGTTGAGGCCCGGCCAGGCAGCCGCCCGCCCCGGGAACTCCCTCCGCCCGGGCTTCTCCCGGGGGCGGCACGGACAGGCAGCGTCGGCCTGGCTGGGTCACTCCCATGGCCGGGAAACACAGCGCAGCTTCCCTGGAGAGAAGCAGGTCACTGGCCTCCTTACGCGTGGGAGGGCGTCGGCCTCCACACAGGGGCCGGCGCCGTCCTGCAGGGCGCGGAGGGGCCTGGGCCACTGGCCCCCCTTGAGCTGCCCATTCCCGCCTGTGCCCTCCGGTCACCTGCCTCCTAGCGCATGCGGAAGGGGACCTGGGGACGGCTGACGGCCCAGAGCCACATGGGCCCTGACAGGGGGGTGGGGGGGTCCGCAGGCTGCCAGAGCAGGACCCTGAGGGAAGGCCTCTGTTCCATGTAGCCCGAATCCATGTCCTGTGTCAGTCCACGTGATGACACGGAAACACTGAGCCGTGGTTTTGAAGCAAAAAACTCTCTCCCCTGGTTTCCGCAGGAGCGGGATAAGCTTTTAAGATACCGGAAGCAAAGAAAGAAAATGGCGAAACTCCCCAAGGTAAAGAGTGTGTGTCAGCGCGCGCCGCGAAAACCCACTTCCCGGGAGCAGATCTCCTCCTTTGGAGATGGAAAGGAGATCATTTTTATTATTTCTAAAAGTTGTTACTGTGAAACAACCAAAATAGGATCCAAAGAAAACATTCCGCTTGTAATTTTAAATTTAGAAATCCAACCACATTTCTTTTACGTTTCCGAGAGAAGCTGGGAATTCCTAATAACGATACCAACAGCAGTGCTGGCGTCGGTGGTGGGGGGTGGAGGGCCGGCCCTGGGGGCTGGTCTCCCACCGCCCCCTGCGAGGCTGAGCCCCCACGTCTGCAGACGCGCAGTGCTGGGCTCAGTCTGCTGCGCCATGCGGGCCGCCCCGCCATTCACTGTCCCCGGCCGCTGCACCACGGCCCCCGGGGCCAGCCATGCCCCCAGGAAATCTGAAGACCTGGGATAATTTCTGTACGGTCCTTTTTGATGAACTTGTCATTTTTATTAAGGGAGCTTTTGGAGAATGTCCCAAAGGACCAGACTTACCTCCCGCTTTGTGCGAAACGTGTGTGTTGTTTTGTTTTCACACAGTCAGCGATGGTCGCTGACGGCTTCCAGACGTTCCTTAGTCACAATGGCTGGGCGCTCGCGCTCCCGAGGGCCATCTCAGGGCATTTAGAAGTTACCTGGAGGGGCGGAGGCAGGAGGGGTGGGGGGTCCGCGGCGTGTGTGTCCTGCTCATGGCTGCCCAGGCGCTGCCGGGACCGGGGGAGGCACGTCAAACAGAGAGGCTGGGAGCCAGGGCGGGACAGGCCGGGCCCGTCTGTGAACGCCGCAGGCCCGAGCGGCCTCGGCAGGGTGTGCCTGGAGGAGAAACTGAGGCTGCTGTGGGGAGCCGGGCAAGGGCCCAGGAGGCAGAGGGAGCGGCGGGCGTCCAGAGGGAGGCTGACGGGACGTGGTGACCAGGAGGCCGGGCCGCTGCCCTGGTCGGGGTGTGATGATCAGAGACCGAGGGGCCGGCAGCGGACTGGGCGTTTAATAAAAGAACCTCCAGTTTGTGCTCGTGCATTTGCCCAAGTCTGGAAGGTTCCGTGAGGAGTCGGGGAGAAGCTGGGAACAGGGGAAGCTGCCCCAGGCGAGGTGGCAGAGCCCTGCGAGGCCGGCCGCGGCGGGACGCGGGTGTCTGGGGAGGCGCACACAGCAGAGGGGCCAGAGGCTTGTCTGTGGGGTCCAGGTTGGTCTGGGGGCCCCAGGGAGGATTTTTGCTGGAAGGTTCCGGCAGAGGAACCAGCAGGGAGACCCGGGGGCTGAGAAAGGAAGGGGACCTTGAGTGTGACTGAGAGGAGGTGGCAGGATTTTGGATTTTGTGACATTTCTAAACCTAAGAGAGGAAACATGAGGTTCGTGGAGGCAGGGGCGAGGGGTGGACCAGGGTCGCCAAAGGCAGGCCCTCGCAGACCGGCTGGTACAGGACTCATCTGTGGCTTTGCTCTCATTCCGATCTGTCAAGACTGACATTTTCAAAATTACAACAGGAATGCTTTACTGGAGACGAGACCCTGCCTCGGGGCCCGTGCGCTGTCCGCTCCGTGCGTCCCGCTGGGCACCGGTGGCGACCGCTGAGCGCCGCCGCGCTCGGAACTGCAGAGACCTCGTCCCCACGAAAGCATTTGTCCCCCACCATGAGGGTCGAACCCAGGGCCCTCCTGTCCGCAGGCCCCGGCCTGCTCCCCGCCGCCCCCTTGGGACGGAGATGGGGCCGGGGCAGGGTGGGGCCGTGCGGTGGGCGTCACTTCGTGGCTGGGCCCCCAGGCAGGGCTCCAGGAAGAGGAGGCGGGACAGGGCCGGGTGGGGGGTGCCGCCTGGGCCTGGGTTTGCACTAACGCTGCGTTTTGGCCACAAGCCGGTCATCGTGGAGACCTTTTTCGGTTACGACGAGGAAGCATCCCTGGAATCCGACGGTTCTTCTGTCTCTTACCAAACGGACCGGACGGACCAGACCCCGTGCACCCCTGACGATGACTTGGACGAGGTAACTTGGGTCTTCCCTCGGCAGGTCCCCGCTTGCCGGCCAGCGGGCTCCTGGCAGGACCAGCCCTCGGGGATACTGAGGCCAGGTGGGGTCCGGTTGTGTGCGTCCGGCTCCTGCCCTCTGCGTCGCTAGGGGTGCGGCTGCCCCGGCTCCCACCCAGGGCCCGCCATGCTCCCTCCCGCCATTGAGCCGCGCCCTCTGCAGAGGGGTCCGGGGCTCCCACCGGAGATCAGTCCCAAGGCCCAGAGCAATCAGGGCAACAGAGACGTCTAGTGGGAGCTTTCTTTGTGACAGAGACACAGCCCCTTCTTCCAGAACCAAGGCCACCCTCCCGTCCAGGCCGCCGTCTCAGCCCCAGGGCCAGAAGCCACGGCGTGGCCCAGCCCCGTGGCTGTGGGACCAGGGGTGCGGGTCCCTGACCAGGCCCACAGTCAAGGCCAGGGATTGGGCCTCCCCCAGCTGATGCCCAGGGGCCACTCGGTGGTTGCAGCCCTACCTGGAGATCCAAGATGTACCATGGCCTTGGGGCGTTGGGCGGGGCAGGGAACCGGCTGGGTCGGGTTTCCAGGCTCGGTGTAGCCTGGGCACTGCCCGCCCTCCCCACCCTGGGTGCCCTGGGGCCCTGCGAAGGCAGCAGCAGAGCCCCCTCCAGCTGCCTTCTCCCCGGCTGCAGGTGTCACCCCAGCCAGGGCTGAGTCTGCAGGCGCCGGCCTGGGAGGACGGGCCTGGGAGGAGCGGTGCTGCCCGGGAATCCTCACCCCTCGCGCACGGCCCGGCTCTCTTGCCCGGACGCGCTTCAGCAGGGCCGCGTGTGGGGCCGGCCGGCAGTGGAGGGTGTGGGTGGGGCAGCCAGGCTGGCAGGCAGGGGCCGGCCCGGCCTGCACCCCGGGACTCATGTCCCCAGGGAAACCTCTGTCCAGATGTCACTGGGTCCCTGGGCAGCCGCCCTCCCTGCGAGGTGGCGACGGGCTCCTCACGCTGACAGACAGACCCGCTGGGGAACGTGGGGAGCCCGGGTGCCCCGCGGTCCGGGGAGGTGTGCGGCGCGTGGCCCGCGCTGACGCTGTCTCTGCCTGTGCCGTCCTGCGCCTCTCCAGGGCACGGCCAAGGAGGAGACGGAGCTGCGGTTCCGGCAGCTGACCATGGAGTACCAGGCGCTGCAGCGCGCCTATGCCTTGCTGCAGGAGCAGGTCGGAGGGACGCTGGACGCAGAGCGAGAAGTTAAGGTCTAACTGACTTCCACTCCACGACGCTCCGGCTGCGCCCGTCACCCCGCGTGCCCCGTGGCCCTGCAGGGACACCTGCGCCGTCACCCCGCGGGCCGGGCCCTTGTCTCCTGCCGTGACTTAGGACCCGTGACGCTCACTGAGGGCACAGACCCATGTCTGGGACCCAGGGCTGGGGTCCCGCTGGGCGGGGGGAGGGCGAGCGGTGCCGGGTAGGGGAGCGTGGGGGCCCCGGAGAGCCCCGGGCCGTGGTGGCGGCGTGGGTCCTGCGGCACCTGGGGAAGTCACCTTCCTGCCACCTGCCTGTGGTGCTCTCAGGTAGCCTGGGGCTGGGAGCGCAGGGGGGCGAGGGCCGGGGCATTTGAGCTGTTCTCGAAACTTGCTGAGATCATTATTCACCCAGCAACTGTTGAGCTCAAACCTGCCCCGGCCTTTATCCTCAGCCAGAGCAGCGGCGTCCCCTCCTGTCCCTGCTTCTCAGGCCCGCCCTGGCGTTGGCATCGGAAATGCCCAAATATGCGGCTGGTGCGGCTGGTGGGCGCCCCATGCTGGCTGTGGGGGCAGCGCAGGCAATAGGCCACGTGGGGAGCACCCTGGGTGAGGGGTCCCGGGCTGGCCCGCCTCCTGCCGTGGGCTCCGTGGCTGGCGCACCTCACAGGGAGACGGGCGCGTCCCCCACGGGTGAGACTCTCCTGAGCGGGCGGCCGTGGGGCCTAGGGTCCCGGTCGGGCCTGCTCCCCGCATCCACCCTGCAGGGCCAGGGGCACCATCGTCTGCCACTTGGGCTGGGTGGAGGAGGGGCCTCTGGGGTGAGGGGCAGTGTCGCAGACACCCCAGACATCCATCCTGGCCGCCCGGGGGAGCCACTGGGCCTCACCCTCTGTCCCCTCGACCACCCTGGGAACTCGGCCGGGTCCCCCCTGTCTTTCTGGGCACCTGTCGTGAGAGTGAGAAGAAAGGCGAACCCCGCTGTGCCCCCCAGCCCTTCCCGGCGGGCACCTGTCCATGGAGGTGACTTTCCCTCCTCTGGCTTGGAAACGAGATTCATCTGCTGAACAGGGGACTTTAAACATTTCCCGTTTGAATTTCTTGACTTAATTTTTGCACAGCCCTCGGAGAAAGAAAAAGTCAAAGTCTCTGTTCAGGTCTTCATCAGACCCAGGGGCCTGGGCGTGGCGGGCATGACCGGCCTGAGCCGGCACAGGGCCTCGTCCTCCTGCTCCCTGCCCACCTCGTTTGGGAGCTGGAGGAAGCCTCGGTTTCCCTTTTCACCATCGCGTGACAGAGAAACTTTTGATCGAAGGCCGCATGGAAACAAAGAACTTCTAAGACTTTGCTTAGAGAGTGAAAAGGTCCAAACTGCATTTTAAAAAATTTTTAATTGACATTTAGAATTAGAGAAAAATTTGATGCACAAAAGTACCATATGATTATTTTAAAAATTGGAAATCACAGAAAAGACAAATGAGGAAAGTAGACTACGCAGGACCCCGGCAGCCTGACGGTGCTGAAATTGGAAATGGTGCCCTTGCTGCGCCCGTCGGCGGCCCAGGAATAAGGAAGGGGCCGTGGAGGGGGCACGAGAGGCCACTGACGATGCAGACGTGGCCCCTTACAGGGTCCAGGGCTGTGGGCAGCCACGGTCTCCAGGGCCCTGTCTCCCCGCCTGGCAGCGCAGGGCTGGCACTGGCTGGAACCCCCTCTGCTCAGCCTTCCCTGACCCTTTAGGGGACGACAGAGGCGAGGGGAGCAGGCCCGGTGTGGGGGTGGGAGCCACGATCTGCGGATGGGGCGCATCAGGGACCCGGAGCTCGGTGGGTACCGCCAAATGCCCTCGGACCCTGTGCCCAGTGGCCCCCAGAGGCTCCCACCCCCACACTGCTCCCTCTGTGTCCCCGAGGGGGGCGGGGGCGGCCGGGCCTTTGGCCCCCCCCGGGGCAATTTAGTTCGGGGGGGCCCCTTCGGCCCCCCTTGGGGGGGCGTTCCCAACCCGGGTGCCGACTTCTGAAGCGCGGAGCTCATCCTCCGAGCCAGGGGTGGGCTCTGGGCAGCAGGTTAAGGGGCACGAGGTGCGGGGCGGGGCTGAGCCCGGGGCTGGGGGCCTCCCACGCCGGTGGCAGTGCCTTTCCGAGAGCCCCTCTGTGTGCGCCGGCATCACCCAAGGAGACGGCAGCACAGCCCCAGCCAGGGCTCGGTCCTCCCTCTGTTTCCTCCTGCAAGCAAGGATTTCCCCTGGGGAGCTCCCAGAATTCACCTGCAGAGTTTCCCTCACACTTTAGGTGAGATCACTTGCTTCGAGCAAGCCTTAGAGCTCCCCTTCTTGGAAAGCGCCTCTTTCTCCCAAGGGAGCAAATGGCTGCCTCTCAGGGAGGCAGGCAGAGTCCTCCGCCGTCTGCGAGATGCGCCGTCCGTCCGCACCTGGCTCGTAGGGAAAGTTTGACGTATCTTTCCTCCCGTCCTACAGACGCGTGAGCAGCTCCACGCAGAAGTGCAGCGGGCGCAGACGCGCATCGAGGACCTGGAGAAGGCCCTGGCGGAGCAGGGGCAGGTGAGCCCGTGACCGTGGGCGGGAGGGGCCTGGTCCCCGTGGGGCGGCCTGAGCGGCCTCTCCCGACCTGCTGGGCTGGAGGGTGTCCTCGAGGTGGGAGGGCATCGGAGCCCGGCCCGCGGCCGTCCTTGGTGCTAACTGCTGGGCGGACAGACAAGAGGATGACATGAGCCACAGACGTGCCACGTTGCCTCCGTCCCAGAATTCAGTGCCATGGCATCCGTGACCACCCCCTGGGCCACTGCACATACGGGCTGCAGGCATGGCACCACCCTGCGCCGTGCGCAGCCCCGAGGACCGGAAGGCCCTGTCCCCAGATGTCGAGGGTGAGATCCCTGAGGCGCCTCCGATGCTCTAGTCGTCTCACGGATGCTGCCGTCTGTGTGTCCGGAGAAGCGTGGCCGGTGGCTGGGACGCAGGAGGAGGAGGAGAAGGACACCACTCTCTTCATTTGCGGAAGTGACACCTTTAAACCTGCTCAGGATTCCACAGATGACTTTGGGGAGGAGAAATTTCTGATGAAGTCCAGTTTCTGAAGAAACTGAGTTTCCTCCTGACGCTTTATACTCAAAAATGCTGCCAGTGGGGGATGGATGTGAGGCCTTTTGGTGCAAGAATGTGCCGAGGACACGGGACGCCTCCCGAGACGGATCTCAGGTGCAGCCAGCGCGGCGTCCACACAGGCTGCGCAGTAGAGCGCAGAGCCCGACGCCCACCCGCAGGACTGGGTGTGACGTGGACGGAAGCCCGCCCTGAGGGAAGTGTCCCCCACCTGTCCAGACTCTTGCTCTGCCGCTGAGTCGCGGTCTCAGTGGCTCTGGGCCAGGGTCCCCTGCACCGTGACGTCCACGTGTGCCTCTGGGCGCCTGGCCTGGGGCCGCGGGCCTGCGTGCAGCCGTGTGGCGGCCTGTGGTGTCCTCGAGGGTTCTCCTGAGGCAGGGCGGCCCCCAAGGACCTGTGAGAAGACGGAGGAGTCATAGGTTTGCGTCGTCTGCGCGACTTGAACTGTCACTAGGTGGTGGCTTCACGGGCTGGCGTGGGGCCCCTCGTGTCCCGCCGTGTCACGGTCTAAGTGTTGGCGTCACGGTTTGCCGCAGCTGTGTTTATCTCTGTTTCAACTCTGTTTTCAAGGACATGAAGTGGATCGAGGAGAAGCAAGCGCTGTATCGGAGAAATCAGGAACTCGTGGAAAAGGTAGGCCTGCTCCGCGCTCGGCGGGGGTGGGGGTTTGGGGGTGCGCAGGCACAGGGCCCCGTCCGCGCTGCCCACTCCCATGGGAGCCCCCCAGTCGCCCCCCAGCTCCTGGAGACGAGACGTCCTGACGCGGTGAGCCCGCGTGTGTCCTGTGGACACGGCCCGTCTCCTAAACCAGGGAGTCGTGCACTGAAAGGCACGCACACCTAAAGGCACGCGTGTTCCAATGCTCTCTGCACACTAAACACACGCACGCTTGTGTGCATGCACAGTCCCTCATGTGCACACTTAGAGCCTGTGCTTTTCTCTGGCCACGGCGGGTGTGGGGTCCTGGTCCTGGTCCCGTGGGCTCCACAGCAGCCCAGCTGTGCGGTGTCATATGAGGGGGCCGCAGAAGGACCCCGCCGCCCACCGCCTCGGCTCACGCAGAGGATGCCAATGCCCCGAGTTTGTCTCTCCCAGCCCAGAGCATCAGCGCAGGCCCCTCAGTCCCCCGAGTTCAGTTCGGGGGTGGGGCGGACACAGCCATCTGCTCCTGGCAGATGCCTGCCCTGGTGCAGCGGCAGCCGTGCCACCCCACCCCTTGGAAGGGGGGACTCCCACATCAGGTTCACTTGTTGGTTCAGTTTAAACAGTTCCTTAACTAACCAGGTAAATTCTGGAAGGCAGCCAGGCAGCGGTGGCCCCCGGCCCTTCCATGGGGCACAGCCTGGGCTCCAAGGGGCACCAGGGAGTGGCTCGGAGACCGTCGTCCTCAACACCGCCCCCCGCCCGGCCCTGCTCAGACTGGCAGCCTCAGCGCCACCTCCCCGGGCTCCCTGCGCCCTGCGCCCAGCCCTCCCTGTCCAGCCTCAGCCCTGCTTAACCAAGGGGGGGGGTCACCCAGCCTCACCGAGATGGACCCAGACGCACTCAGGCTGGAGTAGGGGTTCAGGGCCACATGTGACAGGGCCAGCGCTGGGGCCAGCAGCCGTCCAGATGTCCGGAGTCAACCCCTGCGCCCTCCGGTGAGAAGGCAGGACTCCTCGCCGCGACCAGCGTCTCTCCCACAGATCCGACAGATGGAGACCGAGGAGGCTCGGCTGAGACACGAGGTGCAGGACGGAAGAGACCAGAACGAGCTGCTGGAGTTCAGGATCCTGGAGCTCGAGGTACCTGCTGCCGGGAGCGGTGGTGCCAGGGTGCTCCAGCTCAGGGCCGGCGCCGCCGTGCGCTGTGACGGGGGCTCCTGTCCTCGGGCCTCCCAACCCGCAAGGGTCTTGGGACACGGACCCAAGAGGCCAGGTTGGACCCGCACATCCCTCGATGGACTGGGCCAGCCGGGCAAGGCGTTGCCACCCAGGGATGCAAGCCGCAGAGCTCCGTGCCGTGAAGGGCCAACAAAAGCAGGATAAATGACAACGCTGGTGTCACATCCAGACCTGTGGGGCCCGAGATACCAGGGCAGTGTCCTCAGCTTGTCCCTGTGGCTGCGGCAGCTGCATCTGGTGACAACTCGCAGCAGGGACAATGCCCAACCTCAGCCATCAGCCCGGCAGATGCTCGTTTCTTGCTCACAGAAGCCCCGGAGTGGGGGGCAGTGGGTGCCACGCGGTGACCAGGGACCCTCTGGCTGGGCCTTGCCGCCCCTCGCCCTAGACCCTCTGCTGTGACCTGCATGGCTGGGAGGGTGGGCAAGGTTTCTGCGGGGGAGATCGGGCCGGGTGTGGGTGGCCTTGTCACTGCACTCACCTCCCACTGCCAGGCCAGGAGGAAGTGGCCCTGCAGGTGCCGCCCCCCTGGCCACCCCACACAGCGCCAGGGCCACCATCCCGGTTCAATGGCTGGACCCGACTCAGAGCCCAGACGGATCTGCCCCGGAGTCCTCCTGGCCACTCCATGTGGGTGACCGTCCCCTGGGCCTCTTGGGCTCCTGCACGTGGTCCTGCTGTGAGGAACGTGGCAGAACCACCAGCCCATGTCCCCAAGGGGCTCGCGCTGGCCAGGCCTGTGGTTGACACTCGGCCTGCAGCCTCCCCTCGAGCCTCCCAGCAGCCCCTGGGAGTCGCTGGTGGATGAGCAAGTGGCCTTGGGTTGGGGACCACCAGGGCCACGCGGCCAGGTGGGATGGAGCCGGAACCCACAGCCTGGCTGGGGCCAGTGAGTCCACTGGGCTTTTCTTGGAGCACGTCTGATGAGGGTTCTGCCCCGCACAGCTGGCCCGGGGGGGGCAGAAACAATTGTGTTGACTCCTTGTTCGGTGAGCTTGGCCGGTGTCCTCGGGCCCCAGCACAGCCCCCTCGGAGGGAGGGGACGGGAAGGGAACAGCCCACTGAGCCCAGCCTTCTGCTCTGTCCTAGGAGAGGGAGAGGAAGTCACCCGCCATCAACTTCCACCACACGCCCTTCGTGGACGGGAAGAGCCCCCTCCAGGCGTACTGCGAGGCCGAAGGCGTGACGGTGAGCCCCGCCCCACCCCACCCCGCTGCCCCACCGCACCCCTGCAGCCACTCACCTTCCACCTGTCCCTCTCCTCGCCCCTAGGACATCCTGGTCCCGGAGCTGATGAAGAAGCTGGACATCCTGGGGGATAACGCCGTAAGTGTATGTTGCTCTCCTGACTTGTGCATGCCTCCTCACGCCCACGCCCGCCACCCTGCCCGCCCTCGGCCCCCAGCCCTGCAGGCCCCACCCGTCCTGCCCGGGGCCCTCCCCAGGGCCCAGGCCCGCCTGCAGCGGGACCCCTGGGGCATGGGAGATGCCCACTCCTTTCTCCTATCGTTCCTGTGCCCATCAGGGCCTCTGCTGCGTGCACCCCAACTCCTCCAGCCAGTGACACCTCCAGTCACGTGGTCCTCGTCCCTGGAGTTTCTATCTTTCTGCTCTTCTGTACCCTCACTGGGGATGGGGCTGTTGTTCTTAGACACACCAAGATGCTAGGGGTTCCCCCTTCCTTGGTTTTGGGGAAGAAGCAGAGTCCATAGATAAATCCTAAATCTCATTTGGGGCAGAGTTCTAATTTCTGTGGCAAAGTCCTCAAAAGAATATTAATTGCTAAATAGGCAAGTAATTTCACCTCTTAATCCCACCCTCCATCCATCCTCCATCTGTCTTTCATCCATCCTCCATCCGTCCTCCATCCATCCTCCATCCTCCATCCATCCATTCTCCATCCTCCATCCATCCTCCATCCATCCTCCATCC